GGGACCTTCGAGAGTGAAACATGTCATGGGAGGGTCTCTGATGCAGTGTGTGAGGTCAGGTTTATTCCTTGTAAGCTAAATGATACCAAAAACCAAGATCAGTTGACCACACAGTTGAAACAAAAAAAAAAACAGTGGGACTCGTCGTGCCTTGTAACATGCAAAAAACGGTTTCGGCACCTCTTAGAGTGGTCAGTATTTTCAAAAGCTCCACAGCAGGAGCTTCTGACAGTACCTTTCAAGGCATTGAGCCGAAAACAGTGACTAGCCGAATAGTTTGTTGTTTTGGAACTATGACCTATTTAGGGGTGAAAAATGTTTCAAGCCACGCTCGCAAAACAGGATCTCGGTACGTCTTAGGGGTTCTTTTCAAAATTTCCGACGAGCTCCCCGGTCCTTTTTACGCGGAAGCCATCCCACGGAACAAAAAACTGAATTTCACTCGTTTTAACTTTTTATCTTTTCTTCCAGCCTCGAAGGGTTCACTCGTTAATTTGGCCACATTGTCGTTTTGTCTATCTGAAATGTCACGCAGTCAGGAGTTGAAAGAAAATGTCTCNCGGCACCTCTTAGAGTGGTCAGTATTTTCAAAAGCTCCACAGCGGGAGCTTCTGACAGTACCTTTCAAGGCATTGAGCCGAAAACAGTGACTAGCCGAATAGTTTGTTGTTTTGGAACTGTGACCTCTTCAGGGGTGAAAAAATTTTTCAAGCCACGCTCGCAAAACAGGATCTTGGTACCTCCTAGGGGTTCTTTTCAAAATTTCCGACGAGCTCCCTGGTCCTTTTTACGCCGGAGCCATCCCACGGAATAAAAAACTGCTTCAAAAGTTTTGAATTTCACTCGTCTTAACTTTTTATCTTTTCTTCCAGCCTCGAAGGGTTCACTCATTAATTTGGCCACATTGTCGTTTTGTCTATCTGAAATGTCACGCAGTCAGGAGTTGAAAGAAAATGTCTCTTGAGTCATTTGTAAATAAATATATCAAATAGTGAATTTAACCGGGGAGAGGAAGGAACTTCGCCATGCTAGCAGAGTATTGTTCATGTTCACTGCTGTACCATTCTTTTTAATATGTCCTCGC